CCTCTCTCTGCCATTTGACTAATGTCAGTTATATTATTAAATAACAAACTGGGTAAACAACATAAAAGTCCATTTGTAAAGAATATAAAGACAAACATAATTATGAAGACACAATTTGAAGACTGCTTAAAGCAATAAAATGCTAGAATATTGTTGAACTTATGGACTAGGCGGGCAAATAGGCAGCCACAAAATAAACAATGATTTCCTGTATAAGTATAGTATATTCCTGGAATGAGAGACTTTTGGCACTGGTGTAACTTGTAATGATAATATCATGCTTATGTTGAGGCCAGCCAGATTCAAAGTGCTGCTATGGAATACCTGCCAACTAAAATCTGACTGTCATATGATTGAGAGATCATTATTATCAAGTAACTTGCCGATCACGCCTCCCCACAAATCTGATCTTCAACGGCAAGTTCAGGCCTCCCCACAAATCTGATCTTCAACAGCAAGTTCACGCCTCCCCATAAATCTGATCTTCAACAGCAAGTTCATGCCTCCCCACAAATCTGATCTTCAACAGCAAGTTCAGGCCTCCCCACAAATCTGATCTTCAACAGCAAGTTCATGCCTCCCCATAAATCTGATCTTCAACAGCAAGATCATGCCTCCCCACAAATCTGATCTTCAACAGCAAGTTCATGCCTCCCCACAAATTTGATCTTCAACAGCAAGTTCACGCCTCCCCCACAAATCTGATCTTCAACAGCAAGTTCATGCCTCCCCATAAATCTGATCTTCAACAGCAAGTTCACGCCTCCCCACAAACCTGATCTTCAACTGCAAGTTCACGCCTCCCCACAAATCTGATCTTCAACAGCAAGTTCAGGCCTCCCCACAAATCTGATCTTCAACAGCAAGTTCACGCCTCCCCACAAATCTGATCTTCAACAGCAAGTTCATGCCTCCCCACAAATCTGATCTTCAACAGCAATTATCAATTCGTGTGCTGACATTCCTTCCTTCATGCCATGACAAAAAGCTGTCAAGAATCTTCTTCTGTCTTGTTTATTCGCCCACAGATATTTCCAGTAGCTGCAACATGTTCCAGTTTCTTTCTTCTCAAAATATGATCTCAAAATCATGACTGTCTCTTTCTGATGTTTGTGATAAGTCATCTTTGAACCCTGACCTCTTTCAAAAATATCAGGATTGCTCTTTTTGGTTGTCCAAGGAATTATAAATATTCTTCTGTAAAACTACTCGTCTGAGGCCTCAAAAAATGCTTGATGGAGGGACAATGCAGATATATGGTGCTTCATAAATACTGGTCTTAACCAAACGGGTCTTCAATGATCATTACTGAGCCAGATTTTTCCCGCTAGATCAATTTCCGATTCCTATTTTAAAAGGGCTGGGGCATCCTTGGAGTTCCCTGACCCACCGTGTGGGGAGGGAGGGTTAAACCACAGCAGTACATTAGCTACCAAGCCACCATAGCTTTGGATGGGCAAATAAACAGGTGACCATTCCATGAAAAAAGATTGCTTAATAATGAGAGAATCGACTTCATTGCCATGCGTTTGATCCCACACGGCTCGGTCTTTCTTTGCAATGTTACTGGTCATCTGCCTAGAGCAATGCACATAGCATCAATGCAGCATAGCATCAGGGCCTTTTTCTGGTCGTACACAACAGTACCAGTACATGGTACCGGCACCTTTTTTTGTTTAGGCGTCATGTTTTCTAGCACTACTGCAATAGAATCGTTGTGGTAGGTACAGGGACCATTTTCTTGGGGACACTTTATAGTGAGAACTGGCACATTTATTTGTGTGTGGGGGGGAGGGGAGGAGAGAAGCTCTGCATAAAAGAGAAACTCCAACTCTTAAAGAAGACCCGCTGGTAACTTCCTAAACATCTAATCATAAACCAATCAACCGAGGAGTCTGAAACTGAATCCACAACCTATAGAGGGGGAAGCAAATGGCTCCATAACTTAACCCCTTATTCCAGTGGGTCTCACTTAGCTAACACCTGCAGGCCTACCTCTTTTATTGTCAAAGGTCTGCCATGGACCATACTTTTTTTTAGTAATACTGGAGACCTCATTATAATTTATAAATAATAATCATGACATAGCAGGTCCTTTGCAGAACGTCGCTCTCATCAGTCTGCCTAAAAGAAACTCGTCCTCGCCAGCTCTTTCGCCTTGTGTACATTCAAGGAGTCATGTATATCCTGTGCCCATCTTCGTGTTGGTTGGTCCCTGCCCCTCCTTCCTGCTACCATGCCTTCAGCTATAATTTTTTTCTAATTCGCTATGGCACTTGATATGAAGAAAATTTTTCAGCTTCCGAGACAAGATACTGTTCATTAACCAATCTTCCTTGATGTTCAGATCTATTAAAATGTAAGTATTTCTTTCCTTCTCAGTCCAAATATTAGAACTAAAAAATGTATTGCATTCTTAAGCTAACATGATTTTATGTAAATGGCAATATAAAAGGACCCCTTTCAACACATTCAGGCATTTTGGGCCCATAGTTTTAGACCTTTATCTTATAGATCTACCGGCATTCGGTGGGTGATGTGGTCAACAGCGAACCAGAACGGCACTATGGACTCCTTTAATGTGTTTACGTGGCTCCAGGACCGCCTAATGGGAAAGATCGTCCTTTTCCAAGATACTGTTTTTGTTGATGTCATTACTACAATAATTTAATTCTTTCTTAAAGAAACATCTAGTACCTATTTTACAAAGCCGATTCTAACCTCAAGCTTTTATGTCAACCTCCCATTCCCCCCCCCCCCCCCCCCCCAGAGGGCACCAAACTGTACTAGCAAGCCACAGCCCTACCTACAATGGCCTGAAGTACAAATGCATTATATTCTTGACAACAGTTACAATAATATGTGACAAGATAAACAAATAATATATCATAAGTAAATGTAAAAGGAAGAAATAATGTCAAACTGTAACTGATCCCCCTCAAAAAAGCCAAGATTTGCCAATTGTTCTATTTTTTTTAAATAATCATTAACACTAAGACAAATTGGGAATAACCATAAAAACAATTAGTCGTAATAATGGTTCCAGCACAATAAGTTATAAATGGTGACAACAGCCAAAGATGAATGGAAGTACATGCAATCATAACCATACATCATCTGATTACAACAGATACACATTAACGGAGCATAACTGTGAGAAAACTATAATGGAAAGATAGGAAAATGACAAAACATGTGAGAACTACCTAGTGAGAACACAAACTGGATTATTAACTTCCTTTATGTAAAAACACAGGATACAATATATATAAACTGCCACATTATTATTACAGTATTGGTGATGAACTGATGGCAGGCTGTTCCTATCATTAATCACTGCACATTTTGGACAAAATTGAATTTCTTTGTTCCTTATCGAAGAGTTATAACTCTGCTAATATCCAAACATTTTCAACTTTATTTTCTACAAAGAATAAAAGGGAAAGTCTTTGTTATTACATAAATAAATGATGAACATTAAAAAGAAAACATTTTTACCTATAAAATTATATATTTAAAAAAAAAAGTATACATCTGGAGCAGATCATTAACAATGATTTTATTTCATAAAGATTGTGGGGGGAAAAGCGTCAAGCTATATTTACCGCCTGCAACAAAGAACTTATATGCATCAACTCTTCTAATACTAAGGAAGGAACTCAGTGGATACTTTATATATATTACACGATTTACTTCCATTTTATTTTAATTTAGTTGTTTTACTAATCTACTCTGTTACAACTGAGTTTAATTACTTCTGTTCCAAAGTAGTTAAGATATCTTGACACCCAAAAGTGTACTGCTATTAAGTAGAACCTCTTATAATAAAAAATTTATTAAAAATACCCACATCAATTTGTGTGTAAAAAAAAAGGTGCAAATCTTGTGCAGAAATATGATGCTATTATTAACAAATATTTATTTCATACAGATTATGCAAGTTATATCTCCCGCCTATAACAAAGAACTTATATGCATCAACCTTTTGCTACCAAGTAACCAAGTATGCTCAAAGAATACTTTATACTTCAATTTACTTTATTTTTATTTAATTTGGTTGTTTTATTATTCTACTCTAACAGAACTGTTGTTTAATTGCTTATGTTCCAAAGTAGCTATGATTATCTTCTAGACACCCAAAGGTCTACTACTATCAAGCAGGGATATATACAAATATACTAACTGTCTAGGACAGAAAAATCACAGGAAAAAGTTTAGAAAGAAATTAATCAACAAAATTATAACTCTTCTGAAATATTCATTTCTGAAATCTATATGCACTGTCTGCTGATAACTTCAATTATTCTTGCCTCTTCCCAGCTTAATTTTTTATTCAGAATTCCTGCTGATACTCTAAATACTTTATTGTAGCAAGAACTACATTCTGCACAATTTGAATAAAAAAAACAGAAACATAAACCATAAACAACACATTAACAAACTGAAACAATGACAATGAGAAGACACAGAATACACTGACACATTTACAATGACAAACATGTTGCTTTAAATGTACCACTCTGCCCATGTTGGTTTGCCAAGTGGCTATAATAAAAGTGTAAAAACATGCATCTGTTACTAAGATGTCCATTTCTGACTCACGTACGAAGGAAAACGTGTGATGATTCAATACTGATCATCTGTTCAATTCAAACAGATTGTTTTTAAAAAATTTGCTTTTAGCTTCTTCCTATCAGATCATCTAGACAACATCGATATAAAATCAAAGTTCATTCTGGCAAAACATAATTTACAAAGAACTTTACCTGGGGAAAAATTATATGTGTTAAATTCATAAATGTGCCGTTGGTCCAAATAATTTCAAATAGCCATATAATTTCTGTAATGAAATAGCCAGAAATTTATTGAAAATGCTGAAACAATTTATATAGATATATTTTTTTTAACCAAAGAAATTCACCGCAAGAGATGAAAGAGTTCATGTTTTTAAGTAAACACCTCTCCCAAACCAACAGTTACCATTTGACCAAACAGGCAAGTTACACCACTTCATATTCCTTCCTGATTGCTCGAGCTAGGCAGCAGGCAAACAAAATGCCAATAATCTGTGGAAAAGACACATTTCAATTACATGAACAGCAATGCTGTTTGATATAGTAAAGGTGTCTGTGCATAACAGAGAGAATTAAATAGTTTGATGTTCACTGTTCATTTAAAGATCATCTTCATCGCACATTGGACATGACCATAAGTGCTTCAATCTCCTCCAAGTGTTTTTAGACTAACAGCTCCCATTCTGTTCTGGACGATGTAACTATGGGTGGATCCTAAATGGTCTATCTCACTGCTTCAACAGTAGGGTTTGCAGTCTATTCAGTGAAGAGAGTGGCCAGCGGGTGCTAAGGAGGTGGAAGTCTAACAGTTGATTCCTGACAATTCCTGACCAGGTGATCTGATTATCTATACAGATGGTTTGGTGTTCAGAGGAAAGAGAAGTGCCTGGGGGTTTGTAGTAAAATCCAATGGAAAATCTTTAGTGCAAGACAGCCTAGCATATGACACCACAACATCTAGCAAGAGAATGGAGGTGGAGGCAGTAACTGGTCTCCAGTGGCTAGAGAATAGATGCATAAACATGTCATAATTTTAACAGACTCTGAATGCATGCTGAGAAAGGTGAAGACAGGGATGCTTTGAACAAGTGGCAAGCTTCATTAGAAAGGTCACGGGTAGTGAGCATACTTTGGATCTTTTCTCCAGGTGTGGTGGGTAATGAACAGGCAGACAGATTGGCTGGATCTGCACCACTGGGTGGTGAACCGATACATGACAAGATAGATGTGGTCAAGGCCATTTGGGAACAAGCAACGGAATCACTAGAGAAAGATGATTATTATGGCCTGGAAAGAATGAGGCACCTAGGTGTAACCAGAGGGTCTGGCCGGCTCATTTCACTCAGAGGAAAGAAAAGACAGACATATAACCAGATTGTGACCAGTACCATCAGTATTGGAACTCTGCGCTGGCTGCTGAAGATGAGGGCGGAGCATGCATGGGAATGCCCTGAGTGATGTAATGTCAATTCTTGACTCAACTCAACTTCAGTGAGGAATCATTTTCCATGAATGTGAAAACCTCATAGCATTTACTTTTTTTTTAATGGCACTGATGATTAAAGGGTATTATCACTGAGGCAGAGCTATGATGCAGAACTTAACAAATTGCAGTGAACTGGAATATTGACACTGGATAAGACATATATTGAGAAAACCATATAACAATACAACTAGAATGTCCTTGCGCTGGAGCCCTCAAGGTCACAGGAAAATGACACCTAAGGAAGATACATACGCCAACTGTTTTTAGTTGCAGCAGGTTATTTGCTTGCAACCTTAGTCAGCCGCTGTACTTTTTTCACTATGTGGACTGAATGTATACAGTTCTATCGCTGAGCTACTGCGATGCATTCACAGTGCAACACTGTGAGCTAAGGATTTTATTTGCAGTGCTTTTCAAGTGTGGTTTGTGTTGAATATTAGATTCAGAAACTGGCAAGCGGCCTGTTGCCCCAGAAGCAGTGACTTGTGACTTATGTGGTTAATTGTGTGTGCAACTACCACTTGACTGCTGCTGGCAATCAACGATTAATTGCACAGGCATTATAGGAGGTGTTAGTTGGTACAGGAACACAGCAATCACTGGGTGACCCAGTTGGAAACTGTGATTACCTTACTACATGTTTACAGGGTCAAAGGAGTAAAGGCAGGAAAAAAAACTACAGGCAGAAGGGAGTTAGAGAAGGTGTTAAAGAGAAGGAAGTTAACAACAATAACAAAAACATGACGACATGAGGTAAGCTGTACGTAATAGCAAACTACATGATGGTGTGAGTTGGTTGAAGGCCTATTCTTCTTCTTCTTCTATGTATGATCACAGTCTACCCTAGCAAAACATGGTGCTGAAGTCAGAGGCAACCAGCCAAGAGGCGCACCACAGCAATCAGGATGCCACGCCTATTATCTCTATATGTCAGCTTTCATGTTAATTTAAGGGATATTTCATTCAAACACACACCCTCCCCCATTACCCCCCCCCCCCTCTTCTCTTTCTGCACAACTATATTGATATTATTCATGGCTATTAATTAACTCATTCAGTACCATCAGGCCATATAGCACCAATTCTGAAATGCAAGCAGGTGAAAAAGAACACTGTTCAACACAGTATTCTTACCAACGCTATGCTATCAATGTCAAACATGGTCACTGTCTTCAGAAGACAGAAGGAAAATAGTCACGACAGAAATGAAATGTTTACGTACTATGCTACGTGTGTAATGAAGATAAATCTACTTAAGAACGATGACATCAGGAGGAGAGTTGGCGCAGAACCATTGCTGAAATGGTTTGGCAATGAAACAGGATTGGTATCAGACAGGCATCACTACAGAGAGCAATGTTATACTGATACAGCAGTAACAGACCCAGAGGTCGATCACTCGGAACATGAACCATAGAAATATTAGAGACATTGAAAAGTACTTTATATGAAGCGAACAGAAGGGCCCATTCCAGAGATCTCTTCCTGCCCTGACACACAAGGCATTCCAGGAGTAGAGAAAAGAGGAAAGTAAGTAAGTACCACCACAGCACTTAACACAATTCTTTGCTTCTACACAGATTCCACATTTCCCTTGACTCCTTCTATATCGACACTTTGTGACCACAACCCACTCTGCCTGACGGGTTGATGCAACTTGTTTTGTCTCATGTGACTTGACAATCAATCCTCATCGCGCTTAGTTAGAGGCACAAAAGGCAGAGACAAACTGTCACCACTCAATTTGATCCTGAGCCATCCTCTCTATCTCCAGTTTTGTCCTTCACACAGCCTCAATGTGAGTTAGTTGATATTTCCAATCATTAATGAGGTAATGGAGTTGACATTTCCAATCACCTTTCAATTATGTGATGGAGTTGATATTTCCAATTGGTAATGAGGTGATGGAGTTGATATTTCCAACTGGTAATGAGGTGATAGAATTGATATTTCCAATTGATAATGAGGTGATGGAGTTGATATTTCCAATCAGCATTAATTATTTTGGCGTTAATATCCTTTGAAGTTCTACTTTAGGACAGTTTCATGTTTGAGTCTGAAGGAGTTCAATTAACTCTGCTGGACAACAGAAGGAACTAATCTAACAGCCAGGATAGATCCAGCTAATGCTACAATTGTTATAAAATAAAATCATGGAAAAATACTCCTGTTCAGGTTGGCAATAAAAGCATGCTGCACTGTTTGGTACTCAAAGAGTTAAAAGGAAAGAATGATGGATGTTACACACTGTTCCTCCCTGTGTGGTTTCCTGGGCCCCAGTGTGGGGGAAACAAGAATAGACCCACAGCCTGCTCTAAAGCATGTTGTAAGAGTCGACACACTGGGAGCTACCTTTGAAGTCGGAGTACATCTGCCTAAGATGCAAGGAACCACCAACAGTCTGCATGCAAATGACTCAGACCTGTGAAACGGATGTGCATGCAACACTCGAGTTTTTGGAACAGGGCTAGAGTCTAGAAGTGGACAAACAACCAGAACTTTACGCCGGAGTTTAAAGCCAGTGAGCAGAGCATGAAGAAGATGAAGACACTGTTCCTATTACACACAATGATTCACGATTCACATAGCGACGTACCTGGACAAATGCAAAGCCTATGCCGACACCTCCTATGATAGCCACTTGGTCCTGGAGCCAGTCTTCAAATTTAGTAGCGCAACCCTGTGGACAGCCAAATGCACTAACTACTATAGCTGCTTGAGAAATGTATTGCATATATATTCATAAATAAATATATTTTACTTTACAATGGTAATTCTTCCAACTGTACATCCAACTACACTTAAGCAATAACATCATCATTAATCATGACATGTGCTTAGGGATGCAGGAAAATATATTTCTGAACAAGCACGTCCTCTGTGTCGCTCCATCAAAAAAGTGACATATATTGATTGGCATGTGTCAAAGTACACTTCGCTGGCTACGTCAAAGTTACACTAAGTGTAATTTTAGCGACTGCTCCTTAAGTTAAGCTTTAACAACCGTCACCTAAGTTCATTTTCAGGGTTGTGAGTAGGCATTTTACAATATACCAAAAACAAACATGTGAATTCCTACTTTACAAAGTTGAAAATTAAGTATTACTGTTCATAAAACTACACAATCTAGAGTCAGATCTTAGTGTTCAAAACATGATTTTCTCGAACCAAAGATTTAGTACTCAGGTGACTCTGGCTTAGTGCCAATGATTTGCTCTTGCAGCAAGGAACTGTCACTTCCAGACTTCCAGCTTCCATTTCCTAATGTGTTAGTTTTAACTTTTGATTTTTGTTGGCCAGTCTGCCTTTTAATTTTCATTTCTTTCCTTTGCACCTTTGAGTTTCTAACAATATTGGGAGAAGACGGGGAGAGACTAAAACAGTGTATTTGAAAAACATTTCTAAAACTAAGATGCAGTAAACATGAACAAATATTTCAGTTAGTAATTAATTTTCTTAGTGACACAATAAAAACCACTAGTAGCTAAATGAAAAAGATAAAAGGAAACTATAAAGGAAATAAAAGGAGCGATAAATCCAAAGTCTTTTTTCTAAAAGTCCCCACAATGTGGCACTGATTAATCATATCTGTCCATAGCCTTTTTTGTCTCAAGTACTTTCAGCCATTTCCAATAGAAATGCTCTTTCCTGCCATGAGGTCCAAATGCCCAACCTCATCTCTCTTGGTCTGTCACTGCCTTTCTTCATCTCTAAATTACCTCTTGTCAAATTGTCACAATCTTCCTTTCCCCTTCTCATCACATGCCCAACGAATGAAGACTGTCTGCTTATGAATCAGGCAATCAATTGTCTTTGTGAGTAATTACTTTCAAAACATCTTCAAAATGCCTAGTTGTATACAGTGTACAAATCATCTTTAAAAAAAAATTAAAACCACATTTCCACAGTGTCCACAAAGTTTTGTATGGTGCATTAAAAAAAATATTTAATGTGAGGCAATAATAATAAAATCCACAAACCACAGTAAAGACGTGGGGAATGAAGTGAACATGTCAATAAAAGCAATAACCGCTGAATTATAATAGTGAAAATAAAACAAGAAACCTACCAATAAAACATAATGAAAACATTTTCTTATGAGCTAGTAAAAGGCAGGGTGTCAGAGCAGAGTAGTGACTAGCATGCTTGCCAGTTGGCTAAGTGGATATAGGTTCTAATCCACTGATCTAAACTCAGTGTCTGTGTGTGCACGAGCTTGCCAGTGTCCTGTATGTGTGCTTATATCCTCATATATGGCTTTTTTCCTGGTGATATGCAATGGTACACTGTACCTGCACCTTTTTTTTTCTTCTGGCATCATTTTTTGTTAAGCACTATAGAAATAGGCACTTTGTGGTGAGTACCGGCACCCTTTTTAAGATAGCGCATGGTGTGCACCTAAACCTTTCTTTTTTTTTTCCTAGGAAAAAAGCCCTGCATATTATATAAAACAATGATAAAACCACTTTTCCTATTTGGCTCTGAAACTTTCAGTAAAACTTTTTTTTTTTTTTATTAAAAGAAAAAACAAAATAAATCAAGTGTCACTGCAAACTGTTTAGAGTCTTATGACGAATCTCTGTACCCATCAAAGATGAAAACAACTGAGAATTGAGAATGAGAAGTAGCAATGAAAGTTATAATTATTAATTAGTGGCACTATACAAGCCTAGAGACCTAAATGTTTAGGGCATACACAGAGTCACAAATACTACATGCATAAAAAAGCTGATTGGGAGTAAATACCTAGATAGGCCTACAACTTTGAGATTTTCATCATCAATTTCCACTTCTGTCATTAAGCGTCATGGGGAGGAACAGTTTGCGATCGATTGCCTGATTTGCAGCAATGATTGTGGTCATTCCGTGCCAATGCAGAAGCTCTTTAGTGTCATCAATCCATCTTCTCCAAGGGTGACTTCTTGCTTTTACATCAGATCTTTTTATGTGTAGCACCTGCATTGGTAGTTGTTTTGGCCGCATTATAAAAAAGTATCTACAACTTGAGATCACCAAGTGGAAAGAGAGGTCCAATCATAGAGATGATATCACAGGTGATATCTGCAGCAATGTACTCAGGGAAAAGGCTAAGAAGAAGCAGTAGGAGAAAGAGAAATGTAACTCTAGATCCCCCTGCACCATTCAATTATGAAGAGTAAGTACAACCCCTAACCACTTAAACAGGTCACTCACCTCAGTATAAATATCACTAGTTACATTTGTATTACACGGCTCTTTAATACAGCAGGATTGTGGTGTTTCAACATAGTTCTCTCTCCAGTTAGTACTGTTTGTAACACCGCAGCACTTGAACTACAAAAGAGAACACTGAATTAGAACTTTAAAAAATGCCTCTGTAACTTTATTATTTTTATTCACATTTTCACATTATCAGGCTGATAGTTTCAATGGAGCAAACATATCATTCTTGAAATTATAACTGACAGAAATATACAATGAACGATTTCTGCAGGACTGCCATTGGCAGAATTGATTGCCCTCATCAGAGAAAGACAATCTACATTCTTTGGTCATGTAATGAGAAGTAAACTGGAGTATATCATGACTAGGAAACTTGGACGGGAGAAAAGGCAGAGGGAGACCGAGAGAAAAGATGCTGGTAGACTGACATCATGGCATGGAGGATCATCTGTATCGAGTTGACTGAAAGTACACAAGACAAAAGGTTGTGGATATACATGCCGACCAACACCATATGGCATGGACTTTAAGAAGAAGCCAAAGGTTTGATCATTCATTGACAAAGTTGAAGCCAAATTTCCTTTTTTTTAAAGTTTTTTTAAAGTAGGGTATTTTATTACACATCTGTGGGAAGCCTATAAAGCAGTGGTTCTCAACCTTCCTATTGATGTGAACTAGGTTGCGGTCTTGTCTATAAACTAACTTTACAGACGAGACCGCAACCTTAAAGACATACTTGTCCGAAGCCGACTCCCACCGATCCACACAGCACTTCCTTTTGGGACTACTGAATGCTTACGCAGCACGTGCAAGACATGTCCTTTCGTTGTCCAGACTTCTTCAGTCAGTTTCCCTGATGGTTCTTTCCAAATTAGGGAACCTTTTACTTGTGAATCCCGCAACGTAATTTATGCAATTATCTGCAAACGATGCAGCAAGGCATACATTGGGGAAACTGGCAGGAAGCTAGCTAATCGTTTCCGGGAACACCTCTCCGATATTGACAAAAAGACAAACCAATCCCTCTCCATTTTAATAGCTCTGACCACAGAGATAAAGATGATATATCTGTCACAGCATTAAAATCTTTCTCTGGTGATCATACTATGTGCCTCGCTTTAGAAAATCACCTCATCCATAGCCTAGGAGTTCTTAGTCCAGGTGGTATCAATATCCAACATACCTTCATCTAAATAGTTCTACTCTTATGACATTTAAAATGTTGATTATTTTTATTTTCTTCTCTTTTATTTTATTTCATAATATTACTTTATTCTATTTCTTATCAGTCAGTATAATTTATATATCATTAACATTTGTGTTTCTTTTATTCTCAGTATTATATGTTAACAATACTACTGTTTATTATTTTTTTGTGACTATATTTTTTAGCTATCGTTTGTTTTATTTTAATTCATTTATTCCACACCACATTTTTTAAAACATTGCTCACGTCACCCCTTAGAGATCTACATACTCTCATCGAAACGTTACCTTGTGTTGTTTTGTGCCCGTTTTCCTGCTTCGCCCATTTTGTTGAGCTTTTTAGTCAAATTTCTCTGGAATTCTGCAGTCACCCCCATATTTTCACCATTTTTGAAACTCATTTGCTGGTGTAATTCAAGGTAGTGATAACAAGAAGAAGGCTTCTTTGAACTGAAAGTGCATCTGCCTGAGAGGCAAGGAACCAACAGTCTGCTTACAAAACAGTCAGATCTATAAAACAGAGGTGCATGCAACACTCAGGTTCTGGAACAAGACTAAATTTCAGAGGTGGGCGTTTACAGTCGATGAACACGAAGAAGAAGAAAAACTGGATCCTGTAAAAAATTTAACCTGCAACATTTAACCAATCAAAAGAAAGTCTACAAACAGTTTGATAGGAGTTGACAACCTATGGTCGACTAGAAGATAAAAAACAAAAGAACAAGAAACATAAGGAAATGTGTATTTCTTCTTCTTGGTGTAAACTCTGGTAGAAAGTTCTGATTCATCAACTTCTGGACTTTAGCCTTGAGTTTTGTGTGCACATCTATTTTACAGATCTGGCTTATTTGTATACAAACTGCTGGTTCCTTGCCTCTCAGGCAGATGCACTGCAACTTCAAAGGAAACCACTAATTAGTTGACTCTCAAGACTTGCTTGTTTGGAGGGGAGGGGGGGGGGGTGGGTTTGCAGGTCTATTATTTGTGTGTGTCATTTGCACCCACACAGGGGTCCTGGAACCCATGGGAAAAAATATGTACTGGTCTGCATTTCCACAGCAGTGTTCACAAGAGGATTACATGAACAATCAATGCAAACAACTTTTTCTAAATTTACATTAAAACTAGATAAAGCATAAACATAAAAGAATGTGGTGGGATTTTTAAAAAAAAATTCTTAATGCCTAAAAAAATCATTTATAGACATTAGTAACTGCATTAAAAAGAGAAATAATACGGACCTCGTGCTGCAGTCTATCCCAAGTTCTCTTGATACCTTCAGAGCTATTAAAGCGGCTCAGAGTTGCATTCAGTTTGCTATCAACTGTGTTTTCAATCTGTGGTTGTAGAAATGATATTATTCTTTACATCAGCTTCTAAAAATACTGTTACAAGTAGAGAAATGGACATTTGTTATCAAAACCTTCCTGCAGTATTAATCAGTCATAAGTGTGGATTTGCGAAGCTGACTAGTTATACTTATCCTGTGGACTTATATTTATCAGAGCAGATTTAAGTATCGCTTTATGGACTAGACTAGCGATAATGACGAATCTCTGATACTAATACAACTGCATAACCTGGAAGCACGACTATGCTGCCTTCGAGGCCGAAATAGGAGACATTATAACTTCTCACTGAAACAGTTAACAGGGGCACCCTGGTGTGGCTGCTGCATTAAAGGACCGGTCATGCATAAGAATGACCAAGGTGTTGTGACACCCACAAATAAAACAACATAACATCCTGACAATGTAAGTACTTGCATCATAAAACTATTTATCAGAAGTCTCGAAGCCCGAGCTAGTTTTACAAAAATCTGCCTTGATATGGATTCAATCAAATGACCCCTAAACATAATGTAGCATGCTAACCAAAACACTACAACAGCTCCTCAAAGTACCTCCTAGCTCTTTCAATTCTTTTTTTTTTCTGTTGCTCTTTATTCCCTGATGGGAGTACAGGACCTCAACCAACTCACGCAAAATCATCCTATTCTTTGTTAATGCATGCAGCTCATCCCATGCGCTGCCCATCCTTTTATCTTCATTCTCTAGTTCCCTTTGTGTTGTGTTTTTAGTCTCCTTAACTACTCCACACAATGTACCTAGTTTAATCTCATCTTATTTTTTTTTATATAACTGAGGATACTAGCAGCTGTGATTACAATAATAAACGTTTTCTCAACACAATAATAATTTTTTTCAAAATAATAAGCAACTATTTTCTCAACATAAAAACCATTTTCTAAACATAATAATTAAATGTTTTCTCCATATAATTATCATTTTCTCCACATAATTTTTAAAAAATGCCATTTTCTCCACATAATAACTAATCTAAAGCCTTAAGTAAAGTCATTCCTGTCCCATATATAAACATCCACTCTGATCAAACAAACTGTTCAAGAATAAAAAGCTGGTCATACTTACTTCGTTCCTAAGAACATAGCCAGCAATGCCTCCAGCAATCTCCAAGATGAATACGATGCCCAAGAACACTGCAAACTGGCAAAAAAGGTGTCATGTTTTAGGTACCGTATTCATGATCTTTCTAATCTGGTGTTCGGACCCATAATGATCCCCATTTTCAAAAGTGTGGTCCGGGTTAGCTTAGTTACTCAAATAGTTCTGGACTAGTGTAATGCTTTTTAGGACTGTGTAAGGAGGCTGGGGGGAGAGGGCCGGGAGTTATTTAGCCTGATGATTCAATGCTGCAGGATGCTAGTGCAGTCACCATGACATGTGAAGGTTAAAACATTTATTTTTGCCTCAAACAGAAAAAAAAACTTTCACCACTTTGCTAAGGATATGAACCTGGCCAATTTTACATCTCTTTTTACTACCATTTGGGCCTTTGATGCTTAACTCCCTGGGACTGAAAGAGTTAAAGAGCATCCGGCATTTGGCACTTCTTCTTCTTACAGTTCACGCTGTTCGGCATTGGTAGTCATGCCTATCCAGACTTCTGTTTCTGGACTTCAAATTATTTCTGACTCAAATGATCATGGTGCTAGCTTCATATTCTGAAAGATGAGTCAGCACTCGACAGATGGGGTGGTCAACATCATATCAGCTGCATTAACCTCCCCCTTAGACCATGGTGAATAAAAAAAATATTTGCCACATTATGTGCATTTGAACCTATAACTACCGGCTGACAGGCAAACATGCTAGCTACTATGTTACCACGGGTCCCAATGTTTACTCTCCACTGTCTTTACTGCCTGCATCCACAGGGTAAAAGGGGTCGTGACCCTGGGGATTTGAGGCTGCACTGCTACTGCAATCGCCACAAACTGTGCAAGTTAGGATTTGTATGTTTTGCTTTGAGAGAAAAAAAATTCTATTCCTTCTTTTCTATCCTGTACAATCCTTTCGGCATCATGAACAAACATCAGTTTAGTAAATCTTTGGTTACTCCCAACAATGTTATTCTAAGGCAGGTCTATTCAATTTAGTCTGCTCGCAGGCCAAAAATGTTGAAAATGAGGATCCTCGCGGGCTAGTGGCTAAAGCCCAAATGTTGAAAGATCATTAACACAATACAACTGACCTGACAACATTTTCTATGTGTAACTTTAATAAACTCTAAAACTGTTACACCTAGGGCCTAGTATACGGTAATATAAATGCAACAGTGTTGTCAACCATTCTAATTTAAAGTTTACACCAATAGGCAACATCTGTGTTTACATGGTGTTTCTTCATAACAGCCTTTGCTCAATAAACTCTCTGCAATTTGTCTTATTCTGCACTGGCACTTTGTATTATTTGTATTACGGTGTTTGGCGTCACATGGCTTTTTCCTAAAGTTGGCAAACAATTTTATTTGCTGTCCATTTTATTTTATTTAGCATTGATTCTGTGCAGATTTTCTTTTATCTCTTCTTGTCCCTCCTGCAGCCTTTCACAAAAAACTTATTTCTAGGGCTACTAATTTTCTTTTCTGGTTTGCTGTGAGTGACCATGTATTGCACTAGTAGCATAGGATTGGGATGAATATGCTTTGCAGTTATGTGTGTGATGATGAGGACTGGAATGGGCTAGTTGTCCCAATACTTGGTTTCATTTACTGTTTACTTTTACTACCAATTTGCCATGTTCGGCTAATGTCATTCCCAGATATTTAATTCTAAATTATTGTTTTATACATATGCACTCTACTGCTATATTTAATTTCTGCTTATTTCTTCCTATTGACATAACTACCGTCTCTTCTGAGCTTTCTCGTATTATTTGTTTCAAATTCTTCATTCATGGAGAAGTTGCAAATGTCATGGCTATATCTGCTATTAAGGCTTTGTTGTCAGCAAAAAGGTTATAAGTCATTTTAATTCTTAGGCTTAGCATTTTGCTTTTATTGTCGATGTAGGTGATAAACAGAAGTGGTGAAAGGACACATCCACGTCTTACTGCAGATATTATTGTGAATGGTTTTTTCTTCTTCTACTCTGCGATCGAGAATGATTTCAGTGTTCCCTGGGTTGTATAGCTATATGTCGACAATCCAAATATGAATGTTTGCCCACTCTGCTGAATGGTGAAGAATGATGACCAACGAAAACCGAAAACCTGTGAAAAAGCCTTACCAACCAAAGCCTCATCTCAGGCAGATTATTTTTTGAGTTGACAAATCTTGACTTTGTATTCTTTTTTTCTCTAAAGAAGTGAAGTTCAACTACCAAAAACACAACCCTCTGGTTTATGAGCTTGATGGGAAAGGCAAGTTCTCAATATGTTCCCTACAGGGAAAGTACTTTGATACCGGATTGATAACCTCATTGTAACTGAAACCAGCTTTTAAGTGAGACTTAAATTATCTCAGTACATTGGATTTGAAAGTGAAAAGTCAGTCTTTCAAGGGATTTATCTCCAAGTGTGGTTTCTAGGGCCCCATGGAGATATAAGTGGGGGGGGGGGGGGCTTATGTACCGCAAATTTGTATATTTTGTCTCTGACATATTTATTAGTTTTGTGTTCTAAATAAACAATTCGTTAAATGCATCTATAACATTTATATTCAAAAGCCTGAATCGTCCCTTCCATTTCCACAGTAAGAGTCCAACTCTCACATCGTATAAGAAAACAGACAATACCAGTGACTTTTAAATATTGCTCTTGGCTGCGATGCTGATTTTGTGCTTTCACATCGTATTCAGCTGCGACATCGCGGCTGTTGCCATAGCAAGTTTTGTTTTGACCTCTTTGGTACAGCTGCCATCTTTGCTTAGGTTGGAACCAAGATATTTAAAGGTTTCAACTTCTAATTTTTTTTCTTCTTTTTATCTGTCTGTTGGTAGGTACTTGATTTTTGTGACTATTTACCAGAATCTAGCTTTTCTCAGCATTAATTTCCATGCCATATTTACGATAAAATGTCTCTAATTTTGTAGTAAGTTCTTGGAGGTCTGTTTCGGAACCAGCCATGCGATCTATGTTGTCTGCAAAACGTAAATGACACAGTTGTCTTCCGCAACTAGATATAGATGTTTCATGATTGTCTAGTGTTTCTTTTATTATGTGTTCCAAATACAAATTGAAAAGGACAGGGGATAGAATGCAACTGTCTCACTCCCACACTGGTCTTGAAAAATGTTCCTACGAACTGCTGCACTGCTTGAATCGTTATAAAGTGCTTCAATTGTGTCTATGACGTTTTTATCGAAGTTGAAGTTACTTATTATTTGCCAGAGCCCAGCACGCCATACACGGTTAAATGAATTTGTGAAGTTGATGAAGTTATGTAATAGGTCGGGTTCATGTTGCAAGTGTTTTTCTATCATCGTTCTAATGTCGCAAATTTGTTCTGTGGTGTTTTTATTTTTCTGGAAACTCACCTGCTCTTCTGCTATTATTTCTTCAGATTTTGCTTTCAATCTGTTAAGCAGTAGCTTTAGCATTATTTTACTAACTACAAACCAACCAAACTTCCACATCCTTGCTACAGTAACTACCATATTTCCTAATTTTAATGACATTCAAAGACATGTACTAATCTAATGGTACTTACTGTCAGAGTGAGGCAATAATTTTCTTTGATGGCTCCACAACATCCAAAGAAAGCCAGCAGGAAAATTATCACACCAACTATTATTAAAAGTATTCCAGGTCCCATGAAATCACTTCCAAAGAAGTCATGATATTCTTCAAGCTTGACTTTAACATAAGCTCCTGCTGCAATCAAGCCAATTCCAGCAATCTGGTGAGCAAATTAACACAAAAACTTGTGAATGTAAGGGTTTATGTCCTTTACTTCATGCATTTTTTGCTGTGTGGTTATTTCTCTACTTGATGTATTCACTGAAACCTTCTGGGACTGAATGAGTGAATGACATGCAAAAAGTCTTACTTTATTTTATGATAAAGGAAACTATGTGCTGCCTTTCAGTCACATTTTGATAAAGTTCACTGTTTCATGGAAACAAAAACAAGTGTAGGGATCCTACAGATCAAGATAATGACAACAGCATACATAGCTAGCTGGTCTCAGTTCAAACTTTAGAGCCCCATTTTAGGAAGAAAAAAATAAGATCCACTGATCCCTTAACCAGCAAGTCGTAGGAGGCGACTAATTAAGGGTTTTTCCTTTAAAGTTTAGAGTGCATCTGCCTGAGAGGTGACGAACCAACAGTCAGCACACAGATAAGCTTGATCTGTAAAATGGATGTGCATGCAGAACCAAAGTTCTGGAACAAGACCAGAAGTGGACGAGCAACGAGAACCTATCACCAGAGTATACAGCCAGTGAATAGGGCACGGAGTCTAGCACACACCCATCTGAAAAACTAGTGAAACTGATTAGTCCTGCCAAAATCCAGCAGCTCAGGCAGGCAGCAAACACACAAGGCAGCTGTCAGACGTGCAGACTGTACAAACATGTGCACACACGCACATTTTGAGGAAGAGTGGCTTAGTGATTGAACATCTGCCTCTAATTTAAGGTGTAGAAGTTGACAGCATTTCTGTTCATTGCCTGTCCATGATTCAGCAAGGGTGTCCACAAGTAGTCTCGTTTCTGCAAATATGGATATTTTGATAGCTGTTTTCATAGTTCTAGCTGAAGCAGACCATTTCTGGACTTTGGTCTTGTTCCAAAACTTGAATTTTGTGTGCACTTTCATTTTACAGACCTGTCTTATTTGTATCCTGACTAATAATTAACGGATTCATCTGTTTGTGTATTTACCAAATCATCAAAGGAATGCTGCCCACATTTTGCCTATCAACTCTTTGAAGCCTAAGCAACGGCGTGAGCGTTGTTTGAAGCCTAAGCAACGGCGTGAGCGTTGTTTGAGAAATTCGTTTTTGCAAAAAAAAGCGCTGTCATCGTCGATCGTGTGTCCCATACATTTTGCTTCGCACACGCCTCCGAAGTAGTTTCTAATGTTCGGAGGTACGATTTAATGGCTATCCTCTGAATAACTATCCCAAATTATCGAGGCCGAAAATTTACCCTAACAGGGCCTCAGTCCCGTGTCAATTGCGGACTTCCGGGGACTATACCGCCATCGCGAGAATATCTCATATGCCGCGTGAGCGGCGTGGATTGGGGCTAAACTAGATGGCTGGGACTCACAAGCAAAAAAAATGAAGGAAGCTGTATGAAATACGGATGAGTCCCAGCCATCTAGTTTAGCCCCAATCCTCGCCGCGATTGCGGCATAGGAATACTTTCGGCGGTGGCGGAAGTCGCCGCTAGTGTGCTATTTAAGTTGGCGGAAGTACGCAATTGACACCTGACTGAGGCCCCGTTAGGGCACATTTTCGGCCTCAATAATTTGGGACCGTTATTCGGAGGATAGCCGATTAAATTATTCAGGGAAAGTCACTCTGCCGAAATCCTTTTAGCCTAAACAAAAAAATTTGAAAGGAAAACCCCACGTGCATAATTTGAAAGGATAAACAGCGAAAAAATTTTTCAACAGTGCATTTCATAAGTTCGTTTTCGAGTGCCATGAATACCAATGTTCCAACCACAAGTACAGGTCGCAGAATGCGTCTTTCTGCAGCCGAAGCTCTGAAATTGTTTCAGTCAGATGTTTTTAATTCTGATAATAATGAAAATTTATATTTTTCGGAAAGTGATTCAGACGGGGCATTTTCACCAGCGAAGCTGAGCGAACAGCTGAATCTAGCAATTCTGATGAGTTTATGACACAGACAATGTCCTCTATAATTATGGTCTTCTGGACTTATGGACTTCTATATGGTCTATTCTATATGGTCTTATGGAGTTCTATAATTATGGTGTAAGAGAAGGAAAGTGCTCTAAACAAGGAGACTGTACTATACTGTGGCTAAGCTACGTTGAAATCATCGCAGTTAGTCTGTATATAACTGTACAAAGTAAATAGCGTGTGTGTAATGGCTCATTTTACGGCCATTTTTTTTCTGAAATTTATCTCAGCACTCTGTGAGAACTAAGAGCTCCTGACTGCTAAACTAACCCAGAAACTTAAGTTTGGAATTTGTTAGGAAATTGAACAAACTTTAAAGTTTTGTTCTCAAATTTAGATATTCACTACTCGTGTGGCTGCAAAATCATGGTAAGTGAAGAATTTGTAAAATGTTGTGAAATTTACACCTGCTGAATTCTTTTTTCCTACTAACTATAAATACAAATAAACATACAATTTTCATCAGATTCAAAATTTACATTTATTTCTCTTTAAAAATGTATATTCTTTTTTTAGGATTAGAAGTATATTACATTCTCTATTGCCTTTCTTGTACACCCACCCCTCTGCCATTTTTTTGTAAAAGGAAATTAATGTGGGCGAAATCTGTCAAAATTCATGGGCCTGAAAGAGTTAATTCAATAAATTTATAGAAGAGTTAAAAATAAAAGCATTACCACCTGAAAAATAAAACATAGTGATGACAGACGAAATAGCATAAGGAAATTTAATGCGCTTGTTTACAAAAACCAAGCAAGTGCCTGAAGCCAATCCACGTCAGTCAGTGCCCACGATTTTAGTTCCTACTCCATTTTCTGGGAAAGATCATCTAAATCTACGCCGAAAAAAAAAATACAACATACAAAAAAGTTAAGTAAGGAAAAATTGTAGATATGGAAACCGAAAACCTTAAACTACCCAGCCCCATGCAGCTGTCAAGAATAAAATAAGAATAAAGATATGCTATGACAATATGATTGTAGCAGTACTTTCTACTTCGCGAAACTGCTTGGGGACTACCTTTTCACTCACAGAAAAATGTTTTGTATACTCAACACTGAATTCAAATAGCAAATCCATGACTACGAGCTCACAAAATCAAGCAAACATTCATTTCTGCTTACCACAAAAATCAAGTTAAATACAAACAGCAGGTACTTCACGCATTTCATGCCACCCTCAACCATTTTTGAAGACTTGAATGTATGTATATCTGTAAACCACAAAAGCTAAAGCAACAAGTGCGAACTGTTTATCCTCGGTACACACAAAGCACTTGTACAAAGTCCCCAGCGTTCTCTGTCACTGATCTCTCCCGTCAGCAGACGAGCACCGAACCACACACCGACCTACTGCGCGCAAACAAAATAATGCTCCCGAGGGAGATATAACATTATAAGATAACACAGAATAAAACAAAGGTAGTGGTGACGGAAAGTGGTATTTATTGTTAGATAAGAAGATGAAGAAAAAGAAATGTGATAAAGGCTGTTTTCTAGGCTCTTATGTGCGTTATGTTTATATCTGAGTTGGCATGTGTTCATGCTCACGTGAGATACGTCACGCCAGGAAAAGCTCACAAGTTGTCCAGATATTGCGTTCAGACTTTATTTTACTCGAAAAACAAGTTAAGAAGACGAAACAGAAGTTAAAAATTCCGTGTCTCGTTTAAAAAATTAAGAGAGATTTTTAGTCTAATTATTTGCGTTGTGTCTTCTATGTTTGTTTTTACTTTTTAAACAATGTCGGCGATTTTAAAACCAACTTTTTGTTAGCCGCACAAAAAATTCTAGATATTTTTCCTCACCCCATTTGAGGTTGAAGCTTAAAATAACCAGAGAAACTTTCGTCATTGTTTCCAAATTTAAACTACGCCTGATATGAAATGTCCACCCATTGTTATTCATAGCGCAGGTTAAATGTAGTCGTTTGTACATATACGTACACATCAACAGCTCGAAGCAATGGCAGCAGTAACTTCTGGCATAATATGCAATGAATGAATGAATCAAGAATTGACATCACTACACTTGGGACGTTTTCATGAGTGCTCCGTCTCCTTTCTTAGTAGACACACACACACACACACACACACACAGCTGAAGTAGTCTTTCAAAGTATGGATCCTTACCGGCACTGTCCACTTGGTTAGTGTAAACATAAGTCCCGTTTTCATCGAAACAGTGCTTTTTTCTTCTTCTTCCCCCCAAAAAATCGCCCATATCCCCGTTGTATACAAATCGGGGGACGGGTGGGGGTGGGGTCTCAAGAATCATTTGTTCTATACATTACATGAGGGCAGGTAATAAAAGCAAGGCATATAATTGAAGTAGAGAGCAGGGGGGGGGGCGCTTGGAATATTAATTAATTAGTATGTTAGAGAAAACTAACTACATGTGAGATAAGATGTTCGAGAATGGCTGTGATTAAGACCAGAAGAGACCGAGTTAGAAGCGGCGTGATCACAAGAACTGTTGGAACAACTCTCATCGTCAATTTTTTAGAGAGAAAAAAAAAGAATGAATGTTTAGCCTTCTAATGAAAATTAAATCAAACATGCCAATGGCAAGAGCGTATAACCTGGAAATCGAAAACTAGACTATACCAACCGGTTTTTTTTTTTAAATCCAGTTTCATCATTTTTAGGACGCAATTTTTTGTTATTTGAAGCCCCACCCTGGCTTTTGCCGGGGGCGGCAATATAGGCAGGCCATAAATATGGCCAATTGTCTGAACGCGGTTTCTGAGACCTCTCCACAGCGATCCTCATCCACGTGGTGGCACCTTGCGTCATCGGGTGTTTATCGCTTGTGTGGTGTCCTGGTGGGGTAGAGAGTCAGTCAGTCAATCGAAACCGGCCGTCTTTAACCTACGCATCTACTTGTGAGATGCAATTTTTCGTTATTTGAAACCCCACCCTGGTTCTTGCCAGGGACCGCAATATAGCCCATCCATAAATATGGTCTAATGGCTGAACGCGGTTTCTGGGACCTCTCCACGGGAGATCCTCATCCACATGGAGGCACCTTGTGTCATCAAGTGTTTATCGCTTGTGTGATGTCCTGGTGGGGCAAAAGAAGACAGATACAATCGAAACACCATGAGGCAGAGGAAGACCGCAAAGGACATGAATTGAAGAAGTCACTGATACCTTAAGACTGCGTAACATACAGCATATCAAGCGCGCTCTGGCTCGGCTGCCCATTGGCTGATGAACTGCGACGCCTAGAGGCATAAGCAGATATTCACAAAATAAAGAATTATGGCTTACACAGGGCTATAAAGTCTCATGTTTTTTAAAGTGTATTAGTTCCTTCTTATTTTTTTTTTTTTTACCTTGTACCTCAGTGCAGAGTCAGGGGGAGGTGTAACGGTCGTTGATGAGCTCTGTCAAGAGCACTATTAAGACTGATGTTCATTTTTGCAAGTCTGTTTTAACTGCCATCACTCCATTTTCCCGATGTCTTTTGCTTGCTCTATGAATATTTTAACGTTTCAGTGTGGCTCGCTGTGGTAGATAGTACTAGGGCATTCTTGTTAGGTGTCTAAACCACTTCATTTGTTGTTCTTTGATGACCTGTAAGATTGGCTTTACTCCTAGCGTTCGTCTGATTTCGCGATTTCGTAATTTCGTATTCTGTCTTTTCTTAAAACTCCTGCAGTTCTTTTAAGGCATTTCATCTCTGTTGTCACAATTTTTACGTTCATTAGAGGATGTGGGTGTCCACGTTTGGTACTGATAGCATCGTTTTTGCCAAAAAAATATTTCTCATAAGATTCACTTTAGTACTCCGGGGTATCGGCTTGTGTGTCAACAGAAAAGATAGCTGCAGCAATACGTAAAAACCTTTGGCACATCTCGAGCTAATTTATCTGTCCAGTTTTCCGTCGGATGTGAAAATTGCTCCCAAATACTTGAATTCCTCTGTTGTTATTTATTTTTATTTCTAAATTGTCTTTCTGTCTTCCTATCACCATTGTCTCTGTCTTCATAGTGTTTATTCTCATATTATATTCCTCACCTTTGTTGTTATTATTTTGATCTAGGTGGCTTTATTGGCATTCTGCCATGAGTACTTTGTCGTAATAATAGATTAATAGCATGGGCTGAGTCGCGCAGCATGATAATAGGTAACACCTGGTTTAAACACCATCCTCGAAGATTGTGGACTTGGAAAAGTCCTGGTGATAATGTCCGCAATCAGATTGATTATATTTTGATTTCAAGAAGATTTCAGAGCAGCTTAGTTGGAGCTAAAACTAGACCAGGGGCAGACTGCTTTAGTGACCATGTTCCAGTTGTAGGAAAAATTAGAATAAAACTAAAGAACATTAGAAAAACACCACAGAACATCAAGTTAAATTTAGGAATTCTTAGAACGGATAAAGAAATTAAGGAACAGTACAACGTCACTGTACAAAACCGGTATAATGCAATGGAAATTATACAAACAACTGATGAACAGTGGGATATGTTGCGTGAGTCAATTCAGCAGACATCAAAAGAGACAATCCCACCAACCCATACAGTTGCAAAAAAGAAATGGATGTCAACCGAAATTCTGCAGTTGATGGATGAAAGAAGGAAGAAAAAGAATGATAAAGAAGAATACTCTAGAATACAAAAAGAAATAGTGAACAAATGCAAAGTGGCTAAAGAAGCCTGGCTGAATCAAATGTGTACAGAGATTGGGGAAAATCACGGGAAAGACTCACATTCCATGTAACAACAGATAAATATGTTAACAGGAAAGATGACACGTAACAGCACTGGATGTTTGATATCAAAGGATGGTGACTTATTAATGGGACATAGTAATATAATTAACAGATAGACAGAGTATATAGGGGAATTGTATGATGATAATAGACCAGACGTAGAACTGCAGAACAACAATGATGGTCCACCAATAATGACTGCAGAAGTTGAGGATGCAATACATCATATGAAGAAAGGAAAAGCACCCGGGCCAGACAACATCTCACTGGAAGAAATCGAAGCACTGGGAAATTTTGGAATTGAAATAATAACTAAACTTTTAAATGATATTTATAACAGTGGGTATATTCCAAATGACCTTTTAAAATCCATATTTATAGCTCTGCCGAAGAAACCAGGCACTTTAAAATGTGAAGACCATCGCACAATAAGTCTTATGAGTCACATGACTAAGATTTTACTGAGAATAATTATGAGAAGAATAAGAAACAAAATTAAACCAGAAATCAGCGATGAACAATGTGGATTTGTAGAAGGAAAAGGTACAAACAATGCCATATACATCCTAAGGACATTGTCAGAAAGAGCTATAGAAGTAAAGACTGATTTGTACTTATGCTTCATAGACTATACAAAAGCATTTGACTGTGTGAAGAATGAAGAAGTAATCAAACTGTTAGAAAAATTAAACATTGATGGGAAAGATCTAAGAATAATAAAGAATATGTATTGGCAGCAAACAGCAGCTATAAGAATTAACAACTGTTTAGGTACATTTCAAAGCATAAAGAGGGGCGTACGACAAGGATGTGTACTTTCACCTGATTTGTTTTCAATATACAGTGAATATATTATGAGATCTTTAATTGATATGCCCGGAATCGTGGTTGGTGGGCACAATATAAACAATTTACGTTATGCTGATGACACAGTCTTGATAGCAACAAGTCAGAAAGAATTACAGGAAATGATAGACATTGTGGTGTTAGAAAGTGGAAGAATGGGCCTCAGTTTGAATAATGGGAAGACAGAAGTAATGGTGGTATCAAAGAAACAAATTATTCCTAAATGTGTAATAAAAGTCAATGGTGTTATTTTAAGACAAGTACAGAAATTTAAGTATCTGGGCACATGGATAACATCAGATGGAAGATGCATAACTGAAATAAGAAACAGAATTGGACAGGCAAAAACTGCATTTTATAAAATGAAAAACATCTTGTGCAATATATCCTTGTCATTGAGAGTTAGAAAAAGAATTCTTGCTTGCTACATACATCCAGTTTTAACATATGGATGTGAATCCTGGACAATCGGTAGGCAGGCCAAACAATTTTTAGAGGCCTCAGAGATGTGGTTTTACAGAAGAATGCTTAGAATACCTTGGACAGCCAAAAAGAGCAACCAAGAGGTTTTGAAAGAGGCGGGAGACCGAAGACAATTTATCACTGACATCAGAGGGAGACA